CCTTCCTTGAGGGAAAGGAGGAGAGTGGGAGAAGAGGGGGGGGGAGAGGGATAGGCTACTGGAGATATTCCATCTTAAAGTCTGTCGATCTCTTTATATTGGCAATATATAAGACAAAAAGAAATGAAGAATAGAACTAAAGCAACTTCAGCAACACAAGGGAAGGGTCATCTATATGGAAAAAATGTCAAAGGATATCAATACGCTATCATACACATCAAAGAGCCCATCATATAAAAAAGAGATGAAGAAAAGCGAATTTAACATCCCTAAGAGCCATTTTCATAGATTCTCCGAATACTTTCTACAGCCATTTTATTTTGCTCGTGTACAAGCAACATGTTCATCAGATGATACTCCCGCTCGGAAAGCTCAGAAGGCGATGCCGAACCATCAGTGGAGTTTGCCCCGAATTGGGCCTTCTCACAAGCCTCAGCCTCGATCCGGGCCTGGAGTTGTTGTTGACGCTTTTGCTCCTCAATCTCCCGGGCGTAGGCCAACGCCTTTTGACGGCGCTCGCGCGCTAAAAGAATCTCCTGTGAGGGCGGCGGCGGCGGTGGTGGGCCCATTTCCTTTCCGTGATGCCTTCCCTCGCCCCCGGCTTCCCGCATGGCCTGACGTTCAACCTGGAGGCCGTAGGACCGCTCGCGTTCTTTTCTCGCCCGGGCCGCGCGCTGGGCGTCGGTATCACTCGGACCCAACCCGCGGCTGCCCTTCCCCATCTCCGCCCATTGCGTGCGAAGCCGACGGTAGGAATTAAGCGTGTGGGGAATATAGCCCCCAACCTGCTGGACCACTAACGACGACGACGACGACGACGAAAAGGAAGAAGAAGAAGGCGGTCTATGTTTGAATTTGTGCGCTTCGCGGGCGAATTGTGAGGCCTCGAACAACATCGAGGCCGAGCGCTTGCCCCGGCGAAGAGGAGGAAGTACTCCCGCCCGCCCCCCTTCGCTCTGCGGTTTGATGGGGTGATTCCCCTTTTTCGCCTCGCCGTTAATATGGGGAAACTGAAAGGGCGAAGGGGGGGCCGCAAGGATGGGAACGGGCAGACTACACGCCGCGGCCCTCATCTCCTTCGCCTTTATCTCCTTCGCCGCCTTTACTACGCCCTCGACCTTCTTTTCAAGACCTTTTGCTATTTCTTTTGGCGCGGCGTGCGCGCTGGTTCCTCTGACGAATTTAGGAACGGGAGGTTTGGAGGAGACGGCCACAGTCAACTGCGGGCTCTGCTTCAGGGCTTTCTTCCCCACCTCCTGAGCGCGCGGTCGGTTCACCCTCAGGGAGCTCAGCTTCGAAACTGAAGGGGCATCGCCGTTCCGCACGTTCGAGACCCCTTTATTCTCCGTCGAAGTCCCCCCCTCACTGGGGTAAGTAGAGCCCAGCAAGGACGGCCGCTTCTTCTCCCGCCCTGGTGTCGGCACAGGTGGTTTACTCAGCGCACTGGGTCGCCGCGCCGGTGGGTCCGGCCGGGCGGTGGGGAGGTCAAAGAGCCCCTTCAGCTTCTCCGAAAACTGCTGCAACGCGGCGCTGTGGTCCCCGATCTCAGAGTTCACCGGGCTGTCCTGCCGGAGCCCCGGCCGCTCTGTTACAAGGGCGGCGGGTTTTGTCACAGAAAAGGGAGGGAGGGCCGGGGAGGTCGCACGGGGGTCCGCCTTGGGGCTGTTACAGGGGCCGTTAGAAGGGCCGTTGCAAGGGCTGTTGCAAGGGCTGTTACACGAGCTGGGGCCCTCCGGCGAAAGCGCGATCTCGACGCTGGGCTGGAACTTCAGGGCCTTCCCGTGCTGCCCCACCAGGGCCATGCGGTTCTGAAAGTGGAGCTGAAAGGCAGTGGCGGAGGAGTCGGGCGGGGGGGGGTCTTTGGCACGGCTTTGGCGCGCCGTCGGCGGACGCCAGACATCGCGATCGTATTTTCGGTTCATTTCTCTCGCGCTCTTGCTATATACAATATAGGGAGTGAGGAAAAGGGTTGGGGATGGACAATGAATGCGCGGAAAAAGACACCCGAAAATCCTCGCTTGACCCTTTCTTAAATTATTCTAAGGGTAGCGCTGGTATTTGCAATGTACACAAGCCAATTCATGCACTTAATATGGCTTGCAATGGGTATGGGGGAATATGAAGATGCGGCCGATCTGAATGGGAGAAACCAGATTCCTCTATTCTAGTTTCTAGTAAGATAATTATGGAGTAATTAAACCCAAAATTAAAGATCTACAATATTTTTCTGATATTTCACAGAACCTTGAAGAAAAAGGTGAGAAAAAACTTCGATGTCATTTGAACAAAATTAGAGTATTTTGTCTAGTAGTTCCATTTTCTCAAAAGGAAAGCAAGAAATGAAAGTGTATGAAATATCCATTAAGATCTTGTTTCCTAAGGATCAGCATAAATAAATTTCACCTTACCCTTTTAATCAAAAGCACTAAAGGGTATCACATCTGCTCTTTATTTCAAGCTGTATACTTTATTGTCATTTTTCATTCACATTTCTGCATCGCCATAACCGATGCCTTTTTGTTTGTTTAGTATGATACTATGATCCATTTTCAATTAGGATTCACCGGTCTCCCGATGGTGATCATGAGCCAAGCAGGTCTTCATAGCGATCTCCAGACGCGCTACACTGCGAGTCTGCTCAACGTTCTGAATTTCCAACCGACGAACGTGCGCATCACGCGAGCGAATGTCGACACCCCAGTTCGTTTCCACATTTTTGACCATCTCACGGCACTCCTTAAAAGTCTTCTCTGCGATTTTATGGCAATTATTCTGGGTTTGGAGCAGCGTACTGCGAATCGACGTACTGTACCACCAGTATATGAAGCCGAACGCGGCACCGGTGCTCAGCACAGACCCCAATGTGGGGTTTTGCCGGATGGGCTGTAGAAAGTGCTTTGTAAAAAGTGAGCTCATTCTATGATCGAAGGAAGTGATTCCAAGTAATGTATAATTTCTTTTCCTTGACTACGTTAAATACTAAAAAAAGGCTAGCGCATAAAAGTGAAGGAGAAAAGAGGAGAATTCAAAATTCCGGATTTTTAAACACACAATACTCATACAAATCCGACATCAAAAGTAAAAAATGGGGGATTTCAAAGATAGTAATCTCCAAAGGCTAGTAAAATAACTGGGTTTTGCCAGCTAGCGAAGGTAAAGGCGCTGTGGTACCGCCGCCCTCAAATTAATCTTGAAAATCCACGCATACCCTTGAAAATAGAGTCGATACTCTTCTCCTCCCTTCTCCTAGAAAGGAGGAATCTTCAACTCGAAACGACAACCACTATAACCCTTAGAACAGCTTGATTTTTCTCGCTTTGCGCTGTTTTAACGGCCCTTTGTGGGTTCCCTCACTATCCTTGACCGCACCCGATGTAGACTCGGCATCCCCTTCCACTACCCCATCGGAGCCGTCCTCCGGTCTGTCAAGCAGCGCCGGCGGGCCATCCTCATAACGTCGAAAAAGATACTCAATCGTGTATTTCCACCGCTCCTCCTCGTAGCTTTGCTTTTCCATCAGTTTTTTATACTCATGCGGCGTTTTCGGGATTTCGTCGTGGATATGATGGCGAATCACCGGTAGCCCAAGGAGCTGATAGGCCTCCGGCGTGGCGTAGATGGCGTAGCGCTGCGGAATTAGTTCCTCCCGCGCGAAGGTGGAGCCGACGTAGACGGTCTCCAATCGCCTTCCAAACCACGTTTGTTTTTCCTCATCCCATAAATGGACTAAAAAGATAACGGGAATGCGCAGGCTGGGGATTTGCCGCGCCTCCCCGACTTCGAGCAGCGGGCGGTGTTTGTGGTGGTCCAGATAAGGAATTCGCGTATAGCGGAGGTCGTACTCGCCCTCGCGATAGGGGCTCATGGGGTAGCGCGTTTCGTTCTCACGCATGCGAAGTTCGTAGGTGGAAAGGGCCATGCGCTGCCAATACGGCATCCGCGCGAGCCGATCGCTATACCCGAGGGATACGCCGAAGCTCCCGCCCACCTCCCCGCCCGGGGGGGGCGGCATGGTGATTTTGACGTCCTGCCGCGGCGGTGGCACCCATGGCGCCACATAAAGGGCAACACTTCGTTTCATCCCTAAACCCCAATCTCAGCACAACACGAAGAGTTGATTTATTTATTTTTCCCCTCCCTCCCCCTTTATGTTTCACAGCTACCAAGTGTGTGCTATGGCTTTTCCTTTTCTAATGCAGTCGATGGATCCTGCGCTCGTCCGCGCCGTTCGCAAGGCAAAGTCCTACGCTGGGGATTCCTCTAGATGGATAGTGGTGTGGTGTGATATATATATATATATTATTTGTGCTATTTTGTTGCCTGTTTTGCACTTGAAGTTGATAATTGGAGAAAAATAGAAGT